ATAGAGTAGGGGAATAGGAACATCAATGCATTAAAAAACACTTGGGTAGTAGTGAGGAATCAGAAAAGGCTATGTGAAGTTTATTGCGCGACACCACGAATCAGTGATCTGGTAAAGGAAACAAACATGCAGTGTTGTAAAGGAATCTTTTTCGCCCAACGCAGTATCCTTCTAGTGATCCTCACTTTAACGACAGTCATAACACTATTTAATGAAAACTGCAATTATGTCAACATGATATGTTTGTCTGACGGTCAGTGTCGATATACGTGAGTAATTTTCGTATTACCTAGCCAGTGTCATATGGGAGTTACGAAAACAGAGGCTGCTTGAAGGAAGCAAGCAGGAGAACCCGGTCCAGTCTAACTTGATCACCAGATATAGATAGTTGCCATGAGAGGTACCTGAACCGAAAACACTACTTGTGCAAATGCTGCGACCTTGAATAGGACAGTGGAGGGCACCCAGATATAGAAATTTACAGTTGCTAACATGACTGTGCAAATAAACACTTGCTTTTTCAACTAAGATGACGCTAATGTGGAAATCGAATCTAAGTGAAAAATCGCCTACTTTAACAGTAGGCGATTTTTCACTTAGATTCGACATGTACGTCTGCTTCATGATCACAAAACCGTCAGAGACAGGTAGATTAATGTCGACTTTTAGTCATCTGATGAGCGTGGAACCAGTTGGAATTTCGAGACGACTGAAGCGAACCAACATCACACGCTGGAGATTCAATCAGATTTAGAGATTACACCACCTGGGTTTACCAGTCTGAACTCTTACGCAATAGACGAATTACTCATGCTTCATAGGCTGTCCTGGTTGGGACGTGTACGCCGCATACAAGACCGTCTGCCTCACAGAGCTCGTTTTGCCTAGCCCGAAGTGGACAGAGTATGACCTGGCGGTGAAATACGAAAACACTAACCAGTAAACTTAGTCGGGTGGGCAACTGTTGCCTCCTTGGATGGGGATTCTGGGACTCAAATCACCAATGCTTAATGACTGGCAGAAATGATCCAATCGCGCAGGCAGTGGCATTTGTGCATCGAAGCTATCGCCTTCAATGCGTAGCTACCCGATTTTAGAAAAAACCGAACATGCCTTCGTCCCAAGGCTTATTTGTGTCCCACATTCCCGTTTTCTGGTGCTCGAAACTGTAGCAGGTGGAACCAATGTGCTTATCGTACATGGTTTATAGCTGATAAACTGATTAATTGATTGATTGGGTTTACCAGTGAGTGATCCCAACCACATAGGTCCAATGTGGTAGTCAATTAAAGGATAGCTGATTGAAAACTTCCTGACGAACCCCGAACAGAACAGAGGCTGCAGTTTACTATTGTTGCTTCTCATAAGTTTGCAAAGCAACGTATCAAGTCACTGTTTGTTTTGGTTAGCGAATCACAGTACTCCACAGATGAGGTTCTTGGTGAAAAGATGAGCTGAACGGAACCCCTGAGGACATGTGTCCTGGTTCAAGAAGCATCGTAATACCTCTTTAAGTCTCACGGCACCAGTGAAAAATTGGATACAAGGCTACCGAAACACATTGATGGCAAATCTGTGTGCCCCAGACCGTGGATCCGAAAGACACGCATTTCGGTGGGTCTTAGAATATCCTGTGATTAAAATCTGTGCCAGAAGAGGGTGTTTATACAGAAAGTGTTGTGGAACTTAATCTTGCATTGCAGGAAACGAAAGAACAGTCCTCCAAAGAAAATACACCCAGAGAAGCCATGCTATGCGTCGGAACAGTTATATTCTTGCCACTTTTGTCCAGCAAAATTGGCCCTGTTTAAGAAATGTCACTCAATAGAACAAACGCTAAATTTCGAGAAATACATTCATTTGCAAATCGATGTGGTTTTCACGAGAGACTCAACTGAATCTCTCGTTTATGATATCCTACAACTGAATGTGCTGCACACAGGCCGCCTCATGTTTCAGTTGGCACGATGTTCAAGATGTCGCAGTGTATTTTTATGAAGGAAACTACTCACAAGGTTGTCGAAGAGTTTTCAGCAACCTTGTGAGTAGTTTCCTTTATGAAAATAGTGCCACCCCGTTTTAGCTTCGCTAGTTGCGTAAAACAACTGCAATACCGCCAGCATCCTGTTTAACCCGTACGAAAAAGTGACGTATTCATTCCTCAAAGCATGTGCCTTCAAAGGGTGCTTTTGAAAACAGTGCGATTTTGGTTGGTCCGGTTGGTGTACGCTCCACCGAAAAGGGAATGCTGTAATTGTACAGTAATATACTCCAATCGTAGCAAAACAATTGCAATCACGCGGACAGTAGTAAATATCTCATAACCATACATGCTTTTGTTACATTTTACGGTCCCACTAAGTATGACCCATTTCCAATCTTGATGACTTGTCTAATTCCCAACCACCCATCTAGCCGAATTAAGCCGTGACAATGCAATCCAGCTGGAGTTGCGGTTTCAGTCATTGTTGGTGCTGATTGAGAAGCAAGTACAAGTTCAAAGGAATTATCATGGCGATGTTTTCTCTCAAAGAGCGAATAGAGCATTCCGAAGACCAGAAATTTCTATCGGCACAAATGCGGAGTTTGTCTGCACAAAGATTGCAGTAGCAGGAATTCCATGCAATAAGCCTTCCGCCACAGGGGAGAATTACCGTGCAAGCAGTACATACGGATGAGAAGTAACGTATCTAAATCCCCTAAAATCAGGAGCAACCTCATTGCGAGTCTATTGTACGCGCGTTTCCGCCGAAGAACCTGTCGTGGGAGAAAGTTACCGGTGCACCACATACACAGTTGAAAGCCCACCTGTTGTTGCGCCTCCCAAAGTGGAGTATGGCTCTCCAAAGTTAACGAAATTAACGGGCCTATTGAGAGCTGCGAACTCTGGAGCTCTGTAGTACTCTATACTCACTTGTCGGTAATGTGGAGCGGACTAAGGTTCATTCGAACTAGTCTAGTCCAGTTGACAGAAAACATGAAAACCTACCATTGATCTGAATACCGATGGTAAAAGATTAAATACTACTACTACCAATAATAATAGTAACAACCGTTCAGCTGTAACACCCTTTCGGTGCCTAGTTTCTGTGCAATCCCAAGGAAACACGAGGGCTGGGATACTGTCAAGTGCACAAATAACTGCTACTGAGTAGCAATGTCCGTTATTCAGGATATTCAACCATCTTTAATTTGTAGATAAAACTGGCCACGCTAATTTCGCTGGAGGATACTGAGGCTTTCCGAAATTGAGACCGACTCCACTCCAAATCTTTGCTCACGACATACGCCAGGACATTATGGTCTGCCGAAAAAACCGTCATTAACATAAGGTTGAGGGAAAATCGGGGACTGCGCCTACATGATGAGCCACCAAGAAAGGCTAAACAGGCCGTGGGCTGTCGAAGAATATTCAGCAACCTCATGCGTAGTGTATTACATCCATACATGTATCGCAATATCTTCACTGACTGTTTTTTGTTCACACAACCCGATCGTCTGATCTCTGTCCCCCAGATTCTGGCGTCTTTCTTGGAGACTTGCTCCCCTTACTGTTGTGTCGATCAGCCTTTATCCGCAGTTCTAGTGGGGTGCCTACAAATTTATTCTACAGCTTCGGGATATTAATTTTATTATTCTCACTTGATTTTTCATCTGCTGAACAAGCGACAATACATCTGGTTCAAAGGTCGCCTTCAATGTTACCACCAGGTGAGTGATGAACGCCGTTTTGATGAGGTATTCTGTTGTCACACCATGTGAACTAACAAGAGGTGAAAAAAAATAAAAAAGGGTGAAGACCGAAAGCAGCAAATAATAAAAAACCCACACTCCTGACCCGATTTCACGGTAAGTGCAGTAATAGCAAGAGACTCGGCTTAACCCCAGGCGTAACAAGACTCTAGGCACCATTTGTGCTTTGCCGCCACATGGCAGCCAGAGAAACTGACTCAAGGCCAGCGAGTGAGATTCCAGCCTGGCAGGAGTTGCGTTAACCAAATCTCCACACTCCGCTACATTCTAGAAAACAACGCCACACGCATAAGCGATCAACAATTTTAGCATTCCCGGAATTCCAAGCCGCATTCGACTCGGTTGACCAGTCTGCTCCCATGGACACACTTGCCCATCAAGAAATGCAACGAATGTTCGTGAACATAAGTTATTTGTGTTCTGAGATATCGAGCGTGTGAGTATACGGAGAGCTGTCCAAAGGCTTCCGTACACAAGGCGGTGTCCGCCAGGGGTGCACATTCTTGGCGTTCTCATTTAATTTTGTGATCGACCCGAAAATGAGACGATCTCTGGACGGCCTTCAAAACCCTGGTGTTCGAATAGCTGCTGACGAAAACCTTGTGGATCTGGGACATACACATGCCATCGTTTCCATGTTCGAGGAGGGAAACCAGGCGTAAGTGTTTTTGGACGAACTGACCAGTCATCCTATCCTTTGGTATGCACTTTGCACCCTCAAATTTTAAGATCATGCTTCTCGACCTGTAGTCACTGAACACGCCACTTACAATGCATTCTGGGGCACTCGAAGTTGTGGTGTTTCACGTACCTTGGAATTGTAATGCGATAGATGGGGCCAATGCATGAATATGCAAGGCCCTGGTCGCGTTTGCTCATTTGACACACCTATGGCGTCAAAGTTGTGTTATAACTGAGTCTCGATGGACGTGTGTATTGAGTACAGTACGCGCCATGTTGTTTGGCTGAGACGTGGTCTCTTCGATCAGCGGAACTGAAACGTATTCGGAGTGGCGCAAGAAGAAAGATGGTCAATCTTTGACCTGGCAGATGTATGAGAGATTACAAAAAGTCTGGTGCCACTCGCCTTCCAGCATGGGACTGACGCCGACTGTGCCTGGTCGGGTATGCTGCAAGACTTGGCCGTTACACGATGTCGAGGCGTTCCCGTTGTCACTTACTATACAGTTTATCTGAATTAGTGTCTAGAGGTGTGAGCACATCGGAATGGTTGTGGTAGGATAGCACTAAATCCCTTCGCCAATCACTCTGATTATTTTCTTCACAATAAGGTTTTCAAACAAAGTATGGTTGTGCGGCAGCGAAATATGGGAGTCGAAGACTGACGTCACATTGTCGATAATGATAAGTCCACTGCCACCCTGTGGTGCACGACTGAGAATTTTTACAGCCTTATAATAAAGCCATTCAGACTCTTCATTTTTCAATAGCTAACTGGTCTTGTGCAACACTTCAGCTCTATACGTCTTAACACTGCCTCATTGAATGTAATTCTGAACAAGGTCGGGCGCCGTCACCAGTGTTTTGCGTTAAGCCATAGGGAAGTTAAAAGGGTTTCTAAGGCAGCATGACATTCAGAATAATGTTGCACATACCATCCCACCCTCGGATTCCAAAGGTTTGACTTCCGAAGCCAGAGAATAATCCAGGCTAGACGGCGCGTGTCCAGTTCAGCCTGAGACATCTCCCTCATTGGGTTGTTCAAATACGGAGTGTTCGTTTCAAACGGCATACGCCTTGTATCGTTCAGCTATAACACCTCGGTGCCTAGCTGCCATGTCACCCAAAAGAAGCAGCTTGTATTGTGTTGCACATACCATCCCACCCTCGGATTCCAAAGGTTTGACTTCCGAAGCCAGAGAATAATCCAGGCTAGACGGCGCGTGTCCAGTTCAGCCTGAGACATCTCCCTCATTGGGTTGTTCAAATACGGAGTGTTCGTTTCAAACGGCATACGCCTTGTATCGTTCAGCTATAACACCTCGGTGCCTAGCTGCCATGTCACCCAAAAGAAGCAGGCTTGTATTGATAAACTTCGCCGAGGAGACTTGAAAATCTTTTCGTAACCCACTTTTTATTGTGCGGTGCCTTCGTTTTCTCACCACTGGTTTCAAAATATATCTTATCGATCTACTGATAACGCCTAAATATGCATATCCAGTTTGCCAACGAGCTGACTTTTTGTCCAGCTAGTCATATTGACAGTCATCCTTCGGATACGCCTCCTTGAAAATGGATATTTGTGCCCCATGCACGCACCATACCTTTAAGGACATGTCCACGCTTTAGCACCTTATATAGCGTTCGACCACTGTCACTTGTCTGCTTCTGAGTCGAAGTCAAGACATTTGTCGTAACAAAACTACCCGTTCCTATTTTTTGCAAATGGTCACTCATGTTACTCCCAAACCCATCGGTTGCGATTGTAAACTCGGAAAATTCGTCCAATGCTTATATCTCCTGGATTGACCGCGGGGCCTCTGTAAGGTTGTCAGACAAAAGCGCAGTTTCTACTCACATTCGGGGACTGAAGCAAGATGGATCTATGGGAACAGGTCGCTCAGTGAGTCTCAAACCTCGAGCTTTCTTCGTGTGGCGCAGCAGCTAAGCGCCGAAAGAGGGTTGCAACTTAACTATTATAAATTTTATTTCGTTATTTTACATAATCCGTAGGGAAATACGTAATTCGATCCAAAGGTTGCTTATCACGCAATTTGCGCCCGTTACACTAGTACTCTCAAAAGAATGAAGGGCAAATGAGATTATGTAGAAAAGCGCCAGGGCAGGCTCCTAGTGAAAACGAAATATCGGTGATGACTGGTTCGCAACGAATCGGGCATTGCACCGATGCATTATCTCAGTGAAATATAAAATTGACCTGATGAGCCTCAACAAGGGTGAAGGCGTTCGTCAGCTGTCAAAATTTTCAGCAACCTTACGAGTAGTGTATTACGCCTAAATAAAATTGACTTTTGAAATGGTTACTTAACACTCGCACCATCTGGCAGGATCAAAAGATTTTTACAAGAAGAACTATGAGGCTTCATTCAAATAAATTTACATTGTTGTATGACAGTGGAGCACCAGTGTTCACATCTATTGCTGCTATCAGCCATGGTTATTAGACCCGGCCAACTGTACGACAAAAATAGACTCGATGGTGCATCGCCTCAGTATACTGCACACAAATGTAAACAGTTCGCAACTCCCGTCTATATCACAATTGTGTGCGCAACTCAACGAGCCGCAGACCCACTAGCTCCTGATGGCAACTTTGCATTGATGAAAACTCAGACGTTCGGGAGATCGAAAATGAGCTTCCATCTTAAGCAATCCATGATTCGAGATACGCGGAGAATAACCTTGGTAAGATAGGTCAGATGGTCCTCTTTCGGAATTAAAATCGGCTATCGTCAGTTTCAATCGGCCTACAATTGAGATTTATTGTTCATCAACCTAGTGGTGGATTTTTAAAAGCGGTGGACATGAGTGAACCCATTATGGGTGAAAATAAACCATTAGTAAATAATGATGCCTAAGTGATGCGCAACAATGGAGGGAGACCTTAGTCAAGAGAAAAAGAGAGCAGGGCAGCAGGACGATTAAGAAAGCTGTGCGTCCTTCAATAAAAGTAACAACAGATTTGAAACTGTCCATACATTTCGGCACCAGTGAAGTAAACATCTTGGCATTGTGTTTGAGTATTGGGTTATCAGGGGGCTTGACTACGCACCTTCTACCAACTCCATGCAACGGAAACCCAGTACAAAACGGTAGATCGTTTCGGGCTAGCTAGTCCAACATGCTTACTATCATCATCATCATCA